ACCTCAAAACGGCACCGTTCGGAATGAAAGTGGGGTTTAATTTAAGCAAGATTAGCATTGGGATATGTGCAACAAGTAAAGTCAAAAGATAGTCTTCTCTGGTGGTGGTGACTCACTTCTCTTCCTCACAACAAGTCTCGAGCGAGCCCTAGAAGCAAGCTTCAAAATCCGATTCTCGAGAAGCAGAATCTGATGAGCGAAGCTGCTCACGAAGAACCCCGAGTCAAATCGTTGTGAGGTGATATTCGAAATCGAGAAACATATTCGTTTCTGAATGTTTGTTGTTTCTCGTGAGTTTCAGATGGAATTTTGAATTGGTTGATTTTCAGATATGGATGTGAATTTCGTTTTGATTCTGTGTATAGCTTTGATTTTCGCAGCTGATACTACTATTAAGGTAACACCACAATCCATAGAATTTTCCAATTTGATTTGGGGGTTTTTTTTTTCCGAAATCTGAGGTTTTAGTTCACTATGATTAGGTTGATGGAGAAGCAGAAGTTGTTTCGAATTCGAATTTGACAGATTCAAGATTCGTTGGGTCTGGTATTGTTAGTAGTACAAATGCTACTGATTCTAAAAACACGACCGATGATACAAAATTGGGTGGTGATGGATCTAAGATAAAGAGTAGTGAGGAAGATAGTAGTAAGAGTGAAGTGAATAAAGGAAGTGATGAAAGTGAAGATAGCAATAAGGATGATGAGGAAGGTATGAGTAATTCTTCAAGGAAGAAGAAAGAAGGGTTTCATGGTGAAGTTTGTGATCCATCTAATATGTGTACTGATGAGGATGATCAGTTTGTCGCTTGTCTCCGAGTTCCCGGTAATGGTGAGTCTTTATTGTGTCTAGTGCCTACAAGGATTTTTGTTTGTTTGTTTGGTTCACATGTTTGAGCTTTGGTTCCATCATTCTTGTGCAGATGCGCCTCATCTCTCACTCTTGATTCAGAACAAAGGTAAAAGTGCTTTGCTTGTAACTATAACTGCTCCGGGTTTTGTCCGATTGGAAAAGAACAAAGTTCAGCTCCTGGAAAACGAAGACACAAAGGTAATATCTATATTCTCTTTCGCTGGATTCAACTGCATGATTCAATGACTTTGATTCTGAAGTAGAGTTAAGATCATTCTTATTTATCTAAAGCCTAAAGGTTTATCAGTCATTGTTCATTAACTCTACTGTCTATAACGTGGTGCATTTGATGAGTAACAAGATCCATTGGGTTTATGTGTTGATGCTTGATTTCAACAGAAATTCTTGTTGAGTGGCATAGTTATTACATGGGGAATTGGAGATTATATTTGAGTAAGATGTTGTTGCTACTCGACATTTAAAGCTTAAATCTTTTATGCAGGTAAAAGTCTCTGTTAACAAGGGAAGGTCCAACGATAGCGCAATCATGCTAACTTCCAGTAAAGGCAGTTGCAGACTTGAATTAAAGGATTTGGCAGCAGCACATGAAACCGGAAACGACGACACAGTCACTGTTTCACATCCTTCAACTTTCAATATCCGTCCACGAACAATCATCGTCATCACCATGATCTCCTTCCTCGTGCTCTCCCTTGTCATTATCCCGGTGATCATCCACGTATACAGGAACAAGACACAAGGGAAAAACAAATATCAGAGGCTCGACATGGAACTGCCAGTCTCTAACAACGCATTGGTGTCAAAATCAGATCATGAATCGGGTGACGACGGATGGAACAATAATTGGGGAGATGATTGGGACGATGAAAATGGCGATGGAGACGAAGAACAGCCGCATACTCCGGTGTTACCACTCACACCGAGCGTTTCTGCTAGAGGACTTGCTTCTAGACGACTCAGTAAAGAAGGTTGGAAAGATTAGTTTCATTTCTGATCTGAGGAATGTTTAGTTTCTGGAATGTAAACTTTTTTTCTTTTATAGCAAGTAAAGTAACAAACGGAAACGGTTTCTTTTATACCTTTGGTGTTTTGGGTATTAGCCTTTTTGGTTATGGGCCTAATATGTCTTTATACGCGTGTATATTTGCGCCTGTGAATATCGTGTCGGGCTTTCAAATTTGATCACCGGAGAGCGACGGCGCCGGAATGAACCTTCATTTGTGATTAATGTTGAAGCTGCTCTTGATATTACTCACGTACGAAGACATTCATATCATCCGACAGGATGAAGAAGACGGTAATTGACAAGGTTTTTCGGCAGCTTCGTTCCCATATTAGAATGCAACATTTGTTTGCGTATGTATGGCGAGATGAAGCGCCATGGAAATTCATACAAGACATGATATAAAACGCACAAAATTAGGAATACATGCACACTCATATAATGTACGCACCTGTTGCCTTTGGGTGTGGGGAAAAGAGACATACTAAGTTTGCATGCAAGGCACTATCCGGATATAATGTATTGATCCATAAGGGACTTTTGAAGCGATACAGATCAACAAGGCAAAGATAAGGTGTTACATTTGTGCACATCACTTTTCTAGAGGTCTCTACCATAAGGAAATAAATCATCTCCTCTCAGTTTATTGTAGCAACAATTTTTTGATTAGTTGGCCCAACGAAGGGAACGATGCTGAGGTAAAGTTTATTCCTTCTCTATAGATTAAAGATTTGAGACGATCACATAATTATTTGTCTATTATTTTCAATATTTTGTTTTTTTTTGCGTAGACATTGCATATGAAGCTACAATGTTTATGGCTTTGACATTCCAGTCTTGTATAATTTTTTTATGTAAGTGAATATGTTATAATAAGCCTGGTTTGACTTCTTATCATCCAATAATGGGTTTTGTTTTCCTTTTTTTTCCCACTATCCTTGGTTGCTAGAAGCGGAGAGTTTAGATGCAAGGCGATCAACGAGGCAAAAGTGAATTTAGAGATTAAAATTCATTTTCTTAAAGTCGAATTCCATACCTTTCTCTTCTACCCCTACCTGGAAGATATAAGCTATTCATTCATATACTAGATGCAAAATAATCGACAAGTTTAATAGCCACCGATAGTAGAATCTTGGGAAGCACTTCAAGGTCATAGTTACTATTTATTATGTGTATATCATGTTTGTTTGTATGGATTTTTAATTGATCTCAAAGGTTTGTACACCATTTATGCAGTCGTTTGTGTGGAGATGGTGGAAAAGAAAACACGCTGATAATTACAAAACTATTGGTTAAAGTATGTTGTTCTGATTTTTTCTTCATTTTCGAGAACGCGTTGCTACTTTCTTATATTTTCGATATAGTAGGTACTTTTCGATGGAATTTAGTGGAAAGAGTTCTTATTATTATCTTTTGTATTGGTTTGAGAGTTTTTCATTTCATTTTAAAGGACTTCTATCTGTTTTCAAACCATTTTTCTAAATTCGAAATTGTGAATGAGTTAGATGATTTGTGGTGCTACTAGCAATACAAAAGCTTTTTAGTTTTATGAAGAAAGATTTGAGGTTCCAACGGGTTTGAACTTTGAACTTTGTGGTTTCTGCGATTAAAATGTTTTATTTAATCATATGAAAACATGTTTTATAAAGTTAATTGCCTACATATCAGTAATGATTTAATTTCATATAGAAACATCCTGATACAATCTTCATAGTTAACCATTCAAACACAATGATAAATATTGTATTATACCTTTATGGCCATAAAGCTTTCTTGGAAGTGAGAGAGAAATGGAGAGATGAGGAAGGAGGTAAAACAAGAGTACGAGAACTGTAAATTTAAATGTCAAAATAATTTATGTACAAGGCAAAGCATAACTCTATCATGAAAAAAGCACGTTACGTTATGGGAATCGAGTGAGGGCTGAAAAAAGAGACCAACATAGAAGTCGAAGGGACAATATATATGGTTTGGATATTTCATTCCTCGTACTAAAAGCAACTGAAAAGTCGAGGAGTGAAATTTCGGTTGTGGCTAGATCTATATGTTCGAGTTTGCAATTAGTGTGTATAAACATAAAATAAAGAGCACATAGAGTGTTTTCACGAGGTTCGATTTTCCTACATCCCCAGGACCTAGTCCAGAATCAATCCATTAGAAAAAACTATAACCTATAATTGCTATATGGCATCCACCACTCTTTTCTATATGGAAAATCTATAAAGACAGATATCTTAGTATATGTGCTTCACGCTCTAGGATATTGCTTAATGATTGGTCTTGCATCAAAAATTAGTTGTTAGTCCATCAAAATCGATTGCCTTACCCATGACCCATTACTCGTCTTGATTACTCTTTTGTTTGATCACTACATCAACTTGCCATAAACAAATACTATTTGGTTAGTCAAATCGAAACTTCACGCTTACATGGGTAAAATCTATAAAACAGGATAAAACACTACCAGCCAAACAATCTGTTCAACCGTTAAAACTGACTCAAGTGAAAAATAACAAAATATAAAAATTGAGGCTTTTAAGCTGGTAAACACAACTAGTAAAATGGAAAAATAGATCAAATCTTTGAATCGGACTCTATCTTCACTAGCTCTGAACAATTTGTCTAAAAAGTGATAGACAACTCCTAATGCAAAGTTTC